CATGCAGTCCTAACTTCAGACTGTCAAAGGTTTCAGGAAACCCAGAGCATGGAGTTGCATTCCTGACAGACTTGGGTAACAGACATTGATGGACCTTTCCTCCATGAACATGCAAGTTTTTTTTAACCCAGTTATGCTTTTAACCTTCACAGAATCCCCTGACAACAAGTCCCACAGGTTGACTGTGCATTGTATGAAGAATGTCATTAGGCTTGTGTTAATCCTGATGCCTATTAATTTCATTAGGCCACACCTGGTTCTTGTGTTAAATAAAGAGGTAAATGGTACTCTCTTATTCACTTTCTCCACATCATTCATGATTTTAAAGACCTCTGTCATATCCCTGGTTAGTCCTCTCTTTTCAAAGCTGAACAGTCCCAGTTCAAATGTAATTATCCCAAGCTCCTAATCTTTGCTGTTACTCTCCTCTATAATTTTTCCAAGTTAATATAGATCTGTTTTCAGATGAGGTGACCAAATCGACACATAGTATCCCAACTATGAATGTACTATGGATTTATTCAGTGATGTTATGATATCTTCTGTCCTTTTCCTAGTAATTCCTAACATTATTAGCATTTGTGACTTTCACTGCACATTAATGTTCATTACTTTGCACTTATCAACATTTTGTTGCCCGGTCACCCAGTTTGTGAAGAGTTACAAAAAGAGTTACACGCACTAATCAGGTTTGCATTTAGCTATCTTGAGTAATGTCTACAATCTTTGCCATCTCTCTGTTTACGCATTTATCCAGATCATTTATGAATATGTTGAACAAATAGCATCCCATTTCAGATCCTGGGGGAAGCCCACTATTTACCTCTCTGCACTGTGAGAAATTACCATTTATTCCTATTCTTTGTTTCCTTTGTTTAATTGGCTATTGTTCCATGACAGCATCTTCCCTCTTATCCCATAACTGCTTACTTGGTTTAAGAACTTTTGCTGTGGGATGTTATCAAAGTCTTGGTGAACTGGATGACACATGTCCACATGCTTATTGACCCCATCAGAGAATTCTAGTAGATTGGTGAGGCGTGATTCCCCTTTTCAAAAGCAGAGTCAACCTTCCCCAACACGTCTATCTATCTGTCAGATAATTCTGTTCTTCTATTCTTTCAGTTATTTCAACCAGTTTGCTTGATACTGAAGTTAGGATTTGCATCCCGTAATTTCCAGGATCACTTCAGGAGCCTTTTTTTAAAAAATTAGCATTAGATTAGCTACTCTCCCATCATCTGGTACAGAGACTAATGTAACCTATAGGTTACATGTCACAGTTAAGTAGTTGTGCAATTTCATATTTGAGTTTTTCCAGAATTCTTGGTCCTAATGACTGACTGCTGTTTAATTTTGTTCCACAGCCTCCTCTACTGACACCTCAATCTGGGACAGGTCCTCAGATTTATTCCCTAACAAGAATGTCTCAGATGCGAGAATCTCCCTCCTATCATCTATAGTGAAGATCTATGCAAAGAATTTGCTTCATTTCCCTCTGTGGCCTTACCTGCCTTAAGCACTTCTTTAGCACCTCCCCAGTATCCCCCCACTGATTGTTTGGCAGGTTTTCTGCTTCTGCCATACTTAATAAATTAGTTGCTATTAGTTTTTTTTTTCATTTGCTAATTGCCCTTCAAAGTGTTTTTTGGCCTACTATATTTTTACTTGACTTGCCAGAGTTTATATTCCTTTCTATTATCCTCACTAGGATTTGACTTCCAATTTTTAAAGGATTTCTGTGTGTCTAATCACTTCTACTCTGCTGTTTAGCAAAGCAGGCATTTTTGATCATTTTACTGGCTTTTGTTTGTTTTGGTGTTTTTATTTGGGATATATATTTAATTTAAGCCTCTATTATGGTGTTTTAAAAATACTTTACATGCAGCTTGCAGGCATTTCATTGTTGTAACTTTACCTTTTAATTTCCATTTAACTAGCTTCCTGCTTTTTGTGTAGTTTCCCTTTTTGAAATGAAACAGCAGGGGGGTTTTGTGGCATTTTCCCCCCAACAAGGATATTAAATGTAATTCAGCTGTGTCTGATTTCAGCTGTGTCTGATTGGAAAGAATGAAATGAGTAGGGTAACCGTACTAATTTACTTTTAGAAATAAAAGTGTATTTTGATTAATGGAGAATGGCCTTCATCAAGTGCTAATTTAAAACTATTTGGACAATGTGTTCTGAAGTATGTACATAAATAAGTACTGTAGTCCCAAGTTGGACAAATACTTGTGAATCTTGCTGAGTTAGGGTCTGAACATTTACAGAGAAAGTAAGTGAAATGGAACAAAAAAATTCAGAGTTATGTGATTTAGTGCTTCATGCTTTTTTTGTTGATCAGCTTTTAAAATGACATTCTGGCACCAGAAGTAAAACATTTTGAAGGGCTAGATCAGTGGTCCCCAACCTTTTGAGGTTGTCGGGCGCCAGGGGTCGTGGCCATTCGCCCGCCGGGTGCCAGGGGGTGGGGACACTTGCACGCCCGGGGGCGCCATAGCCGCACACCCGGGGCCAGGCTCCCCTCCCCCAAGCGCCGTGCACCCGGGACCGGCAC